TCCTCCTCTCAGTATCACTAATGTCAGTCATCATGTCATATTTTGTCTGCATAAACATTTACGGGGGACAGTAAAGAAGGAATTAATTTAACAGTCATACGATATGGTGAGGTGCACAGTGACCATTGTGGAGTTTATTGTTAAGAGGAGATGCAAAAAGCATATGTATATTGTGCTACTTGTGGAATTATGTTGTTTTGCTGTGTGTACTATGTGCTAACACAGGACGGGGCAGCTCTGAACAGTCTCTGCTGAGGGAATATACGACGTCCTGGAAATGCTCCAAAAGCTCTTTCAAGCCATTTAGGTACAGGATGTTCAACCAGTACCTATTGCATTAAAAGGGCTCTGTTCTGGTAATCTAATATTTGCAGAGAGTATCTGCTGAAAGCTGAGCAGGCAAGTCAGGGTAACATTCCTTTATTCATGTAATCCCAACAACATGAGGGTGACCAGGACATGACTGCTTTGCAGCCAAACAGTATATCAGCAATGAATAAGCAAGAGCTAGAGCATACACTATGCTTTTTTAAGCTTCTCTCCATCATGGAATTGATACAGTCATCACAGAGTCTTACCCGCTTTCTTTCACGATCAGGCTGTCATCAGACTAACACTGAGCAAACACATTCAGAAGTCATCAGGAACATTTGTTCAAACACAGAATTTGCATTCACTGTTCCTAGACCTTTGAGTCATCTCAGCAAATCTGAGACAGTTGTGGGGTTTTTTAACCTGGCATCCTATGGAAGTGGCAAATGTTCAGTCACACACGTAAGTGTGCGAGACTGTGATTTTCTTCTCTCTGATTTTCCATTCTGCATCCCCTCCCCCAGTATCTTTTAGACCTAAGGGCTATTTTCCCTCCAACTTCTATTCAGAAAATTAGAGAACCCCATTTTTCTGGAGACCACTATGCTCCCCTGTCAAATTCTTGGCTTTCCACAAACATTGTCATCATTTTGGAAGACAAAGTGAAACATTTGTGAAGGATGGTGGATCTGACTCTGGCACAGTCAGCCTGCAGTCTCTGGGGGTGCATTTCTTCTCTTCCTAAGTCATTGCAAGGAAGCAACACAAGTGAAGTTATGCTTCTTCAATCACCTACCTCCACAGAAAAAAATCAAAAAGGGAGAGGAAAAAAAAAAAAAAAGAACAATGAAGTATTGAAGCCAAAACCAAAGCAAATATTTCAGAAACAGTCCATGAGATGAAATAAGTTCCCATTCACCTGTGTGCTGTACAAGTCCAAATAATTAAAATGACTCTAAAAATGTTATGCTCACTGATAACTCACAAATAAAAGAAAGATAAATATGTCATATTCCTCAGTAAATGTAAAAAATAAATTTTAATTTACCATGACTATTTTCTTCTGAATTATCTAGTGACCGGAATGAAGGATTTTCTTGATGGACATATTCATGCACTTAGTGCACACAGGGACATGGGGTTCCACCGCTTTCTTTAGTCCTTGAAATTTTATACTCAGATTTAATTTAAATTTATTCATAAAATTAATACATTTTATAGACTATATAATCATCCAACTCAGTGGTTCCCAAAGCAATATCTTCCATTTGTGGGGCAGGGAGAGGAGTGAGATGGTGCTGCTGCTGGCTGTGCAGGGACCTGACCTGCTGGAGCTGTGGATGCTCTGCCCCGACACCCTTGGACAAGCAGTCGGCAGACAAGAAGGCTCTCACACCCTCAATCAACATGTGGGCAGGACAGTCCTTACTCATGAGTAAAGCAGCTTTGGGATGGCCGTGGAAGTTTTGCTTTCTGGTTCTCCATTCTGTCAGTCCTCAGCCAAGGTAAATCACCATAGCTGTGTTTACACAACCAGAAGAGCTTACCACAAGCAGTGAGAGGTTGTGGTTTGCTGATGATTCATATCAGATCCACATGTCATGACATTTTTCCACTGCAGTTTAGTACTCTGCAGCTAAGCATGCTGCTCCAAGGCCACTTCTGTTCTTCCTAACTTGCATATAGACCAATGGAAGTTATGCTTGCATGAAAGCAGGAAGGAAAAGTACAGCTTAATGCCAAGTAAGACTGCATTCTGAAGCTGGAATGAATGAATGAATAGCAGTGCATTGTATATTATACTCAAGTATGTCTGTAATACTACTGTACAGTCTCTCACTACCTGATTAAGATTGTTTGCTTTGACTTTGCCAAAGATTTCTAGTGTTCTCCTTTCCTTTCCTTTCCTTTCCTTTCCTTTCCTTTCCTTTCCTTTCCTTTCCTTTCCTTTCCTTTCCTTTCCTTTCCTTTCCTTTCCTTTCCTTTCCTTTCCTTTCCAAAAGTTCAGAGAAAATAATTTCTGTAATGATTTTTTCTTTCCAAGGTTTTTGCTTATGATGGTTTTTTTCTTCAGGATAACCTAATGACTGGAATCACCTAGTGAACACAGTGACTGAGCCTTGGGATTGGTGTACCCAGGGACTTAAGTCTCTACCTGTTTCCTTAACTCCCAAAGTGAAGATTCCAAAAAATTACTGCTCAGCAGCTGTCAAAGCCTGGAGCAGCCCCATCTCTAGACTCCTAAATGGCTGCCACAAAAGCCTCCACACAAGTACATTGCTGCGGCTGGGTACCCACAGGACTTCCTAGGTCTAAAACTCAAGAAATATGTAGGGCCATTGGGTCTTGGCACGTGCGCACCCTACAGGGCTCAATGCACTAGGATTTCTTAAGGTACAAGCAAGAAAGGGCAGTAACAAACAAGTTTATTGAAATTGATGTAAGATACAAATTGACATGTCTCTATTTCCAGGGACGGGAAGGGAATTAGTTCATTATCAGGTATTTCTGGAGAAGGACCAACTAACTTGCTGTTGGTGTAGTTGTTTTACAGTCAATACATGGCTGAGAATAACTTTAGGAATGATCTGAGCACTTACCCAGATAAGAAGGAATTGGAATGTATGTTTGATTATCAAAACATGGAGCCTAAGGCTTGGCAGAAGACAGGTTAAGACACCTGTGTACTTTCACCCCAAAGCAGTGTTCTTTGAGTTGTAGAACATGAACCTCTGGTCTACAAAGTGACTGGAAAAATTCATGGAGCACACATGTTTCCTTGCAACAAAACAAGCGATGAGACAAAGTGAAGGAAAATTGAAAATTAACAATCAATAATTTAAACATTAACATCCTCTATATGTGGTTGCAAACACAAACCTGTGTGACAACACAGCATAATACGACCTGGAAATTCTTTCTAAAAATGCTAGGCGGGCCCTGTAATTACAGTGGTTTAAGAAACTTTGCTCGCATTGTACTGGGTAGGGAACCTTCTTGGATTAAGTTAAGTCTCTCTCTTCACACAAGTACTTGGATCTCTAAGTTCTCACACAGGAGAGCTAACCATTTACATAAACGAGCAGGTTTAAGTCTCTCATGCCCCCCCTTACTACCACCATCCCCCACAGTATGCGCTCCCTTCTTCTTGACATTCATTCTTGGTGCCATGGGCATCTCTGTGCTCAACTTGCTGAGTGCCTCTTTAGGCACTAAGCTAGATTAATTTATTGTATAGAATATTGCATGGCAGACTGCAGGACTGCATTCCACATGGCCACACAGTGCCGGGAAGCTTAGCACAGTAACGGTAAGTGTAATGATGCCAAAAGTCCTTTCATCACTGCAAGCCTTGGTGGCTCTCAGGCCAAGACCTGGCCCACATACCCAAAACTCATACTTAATACAGCTTTTCCTTGCCAAAGCTTTAGAGGAGCAACATCTCTAGAACTCAGAAAGCTGCCAAAGTGATATGAGTCAGAAATAATTTCCAAGTCCCATTAAAAAACTGACCTACGTATAATAGGCACCCTACGTGGACACCACTGCTACCTGGTTTGTTACCCATAACCTGACCGCTGTAGTGATCTGCTGAGTCTCTGGGTTGTGTGCTGGATACAACTGCCTACGCCAAGCACTCGTCTCTTTCAACATCTCTGAGGTACCACACCCTTTCCCTGTGCCACAAAGAGATCAGGAGCTGCTCAAATTAAATTCCTTTATTAATGGAATGGTTTTAATAGACCAAAAATGAAATGGATCAAAGGAATGCTCGTCCTTTATGGTTGCCAGAAAAAGTAAATATTGTCTACAGACATTATACAGCTTTCTTTTAACCAGAATTAAATATGGTCCATAGCAAAGCAAGCAACCTGTAGAAATGTATTGTTATGCTGCTATTACAAACTATTTACATTGGATAAAAAGCAGATGTCTCAAAGCCAGCTTTAACCTTAGTTGATTACTGTTATGATTCCGGGTATCTTGCCCTCATCTCCTCTTTTTTCTATTATGTACAAACCAGGCATTAACAAGGTTAAAAAAGTAAGTGATCACAAAATAATAACACAACAAGCTCTGAGTAGCAGACACAGAGAGCAAGCTCCCTTCCTCACCACTCAGCACGACTACTCTGTCACCCTCCTTCAAGATTTAAGAAGGAGTTTATCACTTCCCTGCAGGCTCTTCCCACATCCAACCATTTGTCTCTCCAATCAACTTACTTTCAGTGCCAGGAATCCTCATGAAGGCAATACCTGGTACGAGAATATACATTTTAAATATACATATTTTAAAGGATTATATTTTCTTCTAGCAGTACGGTGTGCTGTCTCTGTGAATACATGTTCACAGCAAAACCATGTCAAATAAATATTTGAAGGAATCAGCACGGTGCATCCAGTTTCACTTTCCAAACGGAAAGTGGTGTGTCTGCTTGTAGTGGTGGTATAAGGCAGAGACTTCATACAAATCCAACTTTGCTAAGTCACGATCATGAACAAAGAAAACCTGCCTAATTACAAAATAGTTGATTAACAACTCAGCCAAACAAAGGGATAGGTTTACTATACACCAAAGCTATTTGCTGAAAAGGAGTTCGCTGCTGCTTTCATAGCAGACATACAGCACAGAGAATATGTTTTTTTCAGTTTGCAAAAAGAATTAATCAGAATAGTGTGTCCATTCAATCAAACATTGCTCTGCTGTAACAACATCGTTCTCAGTTCCCTCTCTCTTTGATCCTCCTGCCTGTATTTCTCCTCTAGTTTTTGTTTTTCAGAGTCTGTACTATAAAAAGTAGAATCAGTGCTTCTCCGAATCTTCTCAAACTGACTGAAATCCGCAACATACTTTCCATTTGGAGAGAGAGAAACCACAGGCACAAACTCATAGCCCCAGTGGATCTCCTCAGGGATGTAGGAAGTCCTGCTTTGGCAGACAGCACTGGTGGACTCCACCGTGGCATTCAGGAGCACCACAAGCTCAAAGTCCTTCTCCTTGAGATTTTGAGGTGTGAGATCTCTCAAAGGGCTGCTTTCATCCAAAATGTGGTAGAAGGTTAAAGGCAAAATGAGAAATGGACTCTCTGAAGAGGAGTCAACATTGAACTTGACACTGGCTTGATGATCCGCTCCCCTTCTTTGGTTTCATACGTCTGAAGAAGCTTCCCAGACAGCTGACACTGTATCAGAAGGCTTTTCCTCATATTTGCTACTCTGATCACCAGGCAAAGTTCTCCATTGTGTTTAGTAATGACAGCGCAGTGGCTGAATTTAATAGTCTCTGCCCTTTTTTTAGGTCTTGCAATTTTGGCCAGAAAGGTACCTGTGATGAAGATTTCAATCAAAGTGGTGATGACCAGTTGGGCCACAAGTAAGAAAATGGCATGAGGACACTCCTCTGTAATGAAACGAAATCCATAGCCAATGGTTGTCTGTGACTCCAGGGAGAAAAGGAATGCCCCAGTCAGAGAGTCTACATTCTTGACACACGGCTCGCGCTTTGGTGTGAACTTGTTTATTTCTAAATCACCATGAAGGAATGCGATGGCATAGTAGATAACTCCAAAGAGGAACCAGGTCATAACAAAAGTAGCAGCAAATAAGGTGAGTTTGTACCTCCACTTCATGTCTATAACTGTAGTCCACAAATCTTGAAGGTAGAGTAGGTAAATGCCATCGACCTTGTCTATCCGCACGTTGCTGTGACCACTTTTGGACATCACACGGGGTTTGTGTGCCTTGAGCATAGCAGTGTCAATGCCTCCGTTAACCAGTGGGACACGGGACATATTAATCTTTGTTGTTTCCATGCTCACTGCTTCAGTCCTAAGGAGAGAATAAGCGAAGACTGTTACTTGATGAAATCAAAGCACATAACTGATTCTGAAAAGCATTTGAAAATGTTGATGGACAGAAGGCACAAACAAAATCTAAACACAGCAGCAGTGAATTAAAACAGTTGGAATATAAAGTTACCATCATACAATATCTAACATTACAAATAATTTGATAATCTTTTTTCCAGGAAAAAACAAATCATTCTTTGATTCTGGTGACTGCCAAATATGGAGAAGTAGGTTTCTTTTATGATAGCCTGCAAAAGAAATTTGACCAAGCTGAAGTTTTATATTAGTACTTTATTTCTGTAAAATGCATTAAATTTTTTTCTTACGTTTCTCTAGAGAAGAGGCTCTTTTTGATTACTGAGCAGGTTTTCTTTAATGCCCTGAAGAGAGACATCTGATCAAAATTAAAGTCGCGTCAATGCTTGGTTTAGAACGCAGATCCAGCACACCACCTCTGTCTCTTCCTGCGACGGAGGCAAAATGAGCCAGACCAGCTTTCACTGTGAACAATTAACTTCCACAAGTGATTTACTCAGTCGGATCTGGCTCTTTGTTACAAAACTACAACTAACCTAGAGGGAAACAAAGCAGACCTGAACACATCAAAGTAGAGTTTTGGAAAGGAATATTTACACCTGAAAACACTTCGAAGCTGTTTACACTGCACAGCACTCCGTTTTTAAGCCATCTAAGTTAAAAAAAGGAGGCAATTCACAAAGTCAGCATTCTAGCTGTGGGCCCTGACCTGCGCAAACCCAGCAATCATTGGACCACCCGACTCCTGAAGTTTGTTTACTGTGCATCAGTCCGGATGGAGAGTAAGTGTGCGGACACTGAACAAAGCCCACAGAGCGAAGCAGAACGGTGCTTGTGTCAGTTTGACGAGGCAAGTAATAAGACCCGGCTTGCAGGACCAGACAGTGATTACGTAGAGCAAGGACAGTGCATGTTATAGTCGTTTCCAACAACAAAACTTCCTGCT